CCGCCGCCGCCATGGCCGGCGCGCAGCCCGCCGGGGCCTGTAGTCCCGCCGCGGACCACCGCTACCGGCCGCCCCGGAAAGGCGTCACGGCGGCCTCGGGGCCCTGCGGCGGCGGGGAGGCGGCTGAGGAGCGCTGAGGAGTGTTGCCGGGCTGGTGGTGGGAGCGCGGGTAATGGCGGGCAGGCCGGCGGGGCCCCCGGCAGACGGTAGGGCCTGGGCGGCGGGGGGCGAAGCGGGGGAGGCTGCGGGGCCGGTGCCGGGCCCCCCGGCCCGCGGAGAGCCCCGTCTGGCGGTGCCGCTCCCGCTGCCGTGCCGGGGAGCGCCTGGCGCCGCGCGGGAAAACATCCCGGAAAATAAAATAAAATCTCAAGTCGTTAAGAATGTACCGTGTCCGCGGTTTCACAGCGACACGAAGGCTTTCATCGTGCTTTATTGAAAAACTGCGTCTTACTCCTAGCAAAGGGGAAAACCCCGTGCTTGCCAACCCCTTCTTTACAGCATTAGGGTGTTTAATAATGCAATGAACAGGCTTCCTGAGATAATTAACAGCTTGCTTCGCTAGCACCGCTTATGCCGTGGCTTTAAACAAATTTCTCTGTTGGCCTCCACCTTTCTTTCTTGCCGTATAATGATTGAATTAAGCAATAGGGCTGAGTGAGGCCGGAAGGTTTGCTTGACATAACGAAGCCACCCTTAGCATAAGCATGAGTTACCGAATTCGGTGGATGTTCTGTTAATTAGGTACGCGTGCGTGTAGCCATTGTATAGGTCTGCATAAATCTAGCTTTGTAAGAGGAAATTGTCTAGAGAACAGCACGCTAAAGGACAATGTAACCTTGCAGAAAGGACTTCTCTCTGGGAACAGTGGGCCCCAAGACCAATGAGGCATACAGAGCCAGTCACTGTGACAATGATTTATTGGAAATATAATGAGTATGTTAATTAGTTCTCGGAAATGACGTAAATATGTGTGTATAGTGTGTCTACATGCTGTTAAACTAACTCTGTCTGGCACACACATTTGGAGGAGCGATCCCCTGTGCGTCCAGCTCTGCAATAAAGAATACCTGCTCAATAGTCATCCCGGCTATTGAGTCCCGATTTCTGCCTTTCACAGCATCATGATGCACTCCCGTTGCTCCAGGAGCAATTTTTCGGAGACCATACAAATAATGCCACAGTGAACAATTTTCTTGTGTTGGAGCACCTGGCAACGCCCCACTGGAGCTGTGTGACAAAGCTGCCACGAGCAACAACCTCTTAAGAAAGAGGCAGAAGTAATTGATTGAGCTAACCCGATATACCTGTTGCACATACCAGTTGGACCACAGCCTTCGTGCTCGCTTCACGCCAAAATATCCTATTCTTTAAGTATGAAAATAATACTCAAAGAGAAGGTGTCTTCGCAGGTGGTTTGTTGGAGCAGAAGGTGAAGACAATGCCAGAAAAAGTTCATGAAAGGAGACTGGGTTTTTGTAAGCCGTGTGGAGGGGGTAGGGTGCCAAGAGTAGAAGGTGGTCACAACATTTGGCTGCTGCTTTCACAAAAAGAAGTAGGTTAGAGGGGTTAAGAATGTAATAGCACCTCCCTATGATATAAGAGCATATTTTGCATCGTTCAGCAATAACAGCATGGCCTAAAGCCCTTATACCTCCCCCGGTTATATTTAGACATGCACCGCGCTTGTGTGCTGAATTCTTTTATTAGCTCTCACTCGCTTTTGCCTCTTAATTGCAGTTATTGTTCCTCATTATAGAAGTTTTGCTAAGCATCATCCCATTTTTCCTGTAGTTATTGACAGTCTCCATTTCCTTCTTCGGCTACACCCTCTGCTTTCTTCATCCATCACCTTTGTGCATCATGACACTCCCCAGCTTTGGAAGCAGCTCTGATTAAGGGCTGTTGCCTTCACTTCCTGTGTATCCTCCCTGAAACCTATTCATTGTTCCATGACGGATTCTCATCCCAGTTTCCAAAACCATGCATGCCTTGTTATGTGTTTGTTGTTATCTCCTCTGCTCTGTTTATGTTATGAACACACCTTTCCCCTTTGCGTACTTGCATCATTACTTGACATTTGAAAACACACCATCGCTTATCTGATGTCGCCACGTCTGGGGTGGAAGCGTTGGGGCCCTATTGATCTAAGTGCAGTGTTGACATAAACATGTAGGAGCAATCTGGACCAAGAGCAGCAGGATTCAACCCTAACTCTTCCGGAAAACTATCAGAGATTTATAGCGTTCACAGAAAGGAAATAAGCTCCTGCTTTCAAAAACCTTATTTGGAAAACACGACCTGCCAAACTCTGTGG